AAACCCCAGAGATCAGCTGGTGTGACTCTTGGTGACTCCCAAATTCGGAAGCCAGGTGTTTGGAGGTGGGGTTGGGGGGATCTTTATAAAACCGAACAGCAGCATCGAGGCTCCTGGGCCCTGCCTCCCGGCATGCATGGTACACACTACTGCAGGCCACAGAGAAGTCTCCAAACATTCCCTCTGACAAGCTCTGGGGTGCAGGCACCCAGCCGAGTCAACACTGCCAGATTTTTAAAGATCGTGGTTTTTAAAATTTATTTTTATGGTACCTGATGTCAATTATGAATAAAGGCATGTGCATCACCTGAGTCTTCACTGTCTCCTCCAAGATTACTCTTGGTTCCATATCAAGCCTTGTAGTCGAGATCTTCGTCTCTCTGTGGTTCTTTTTCTCAGGAGATGGGGGCTAGTGGCCCTTTCTATGCCAGGCACCATGCTGTAAGTCTTGTACGTAAACTGCAGGTAGGAACTGTCACCTGCAGTCCTCGGATCGGAGAGGAGAGGTGTGCAGTTGGTCTGAGCCCCCAGGTGGGTTCTGCTCTGAGGTCCAGGTCTTTGTTCTCCACGGTGGCTTGTCCTTGACCTTGTCTTTCAGAAATCTCCTCCAAGAGTGGATACTATGGAAGCTACAACTCCAAGGGGAGGTCTGGACACATGTTCAATATTTTAAGGTTTGCCTGGTGCACCTGACAAGCTTCAAAAGGGGTAGGCAAGAATGAACAAGAGTCCTACGTGAGGTGCCCAACATCAGTAGGAGTGGAGTTTCGGGACAGGCTGAGATGGACATGTCTAAGGGTTTCAGACACCCTTTCCATCAGGAGAGAGGCAGCCTCTTTTCTGTGCAGCCCTGAGTCTCAGGAGCTGCCAGTGCCCATAGTCACAAGAATATAAAGTCAGAGGACGTCGGAGCTGCTGCCACCTGGCCAGTCTCCTACCTCCAGGGAGTCCAGTGTTTACAAATCTGCTGTGCTCAACTTTGTTTTGCACCAACACGGCTGAGACCACAACACACTCCCATCAGTAACAGTGGGTCTCCAGGCAAAGATCTTCACCAGGGACCCTGGTCCACTGGGGAGAGGTGTCAAAAGCTCCAGAGAGACAAACAGGCCATTCCTGACACCAGAGAGGCATATCCCTTGTTTTGAAAAAAATTGGTCTTTTAAACCATAAACAACAGCTGGCTGGGTCTTTTGTTAAAAAGTTTCCTCTAATTAGTCATTTTAATGTTTATGATCGTGCAGCCCAGAGCAAAAGCACCTATATTAACTAGCAAAATAACCCCTTAGAGTTGTTTAGAATGCAGCCCTGGTGTATTGACTTATGCAAATGCTCACAACAGCTCTGGGAGGTTGGGGAGGAGAGAACCAAGTTACTAGAGGATGAAAAGGACCTGCCCAAAGGGACACAGCTGTGGAGGGGCAGAGCAGGGCCTTGAACCTCAGTCTCCCGTTCTGTTCCTCTTCTCCAAGTACCCTTTGCCACCCAGTTTGCTGAGCTGGACATGTGGCTTTCCCCCAGGTGTGACATGGCCCTGTGGGCAGCAAGCCCTGGCATCTGAATCTGTGCCCTGAAGAGGTCTGGAGCAAAGTGAATGTGTCATTGTGTCATCCCTCCAGCCCCCTCCACACCTCAGCAGGGGCCAACAGCAGGGGACCCGATCACGATCAAACGAATGAACATTCCCTGATGGTTTGCAAAGAGCAGTCCTGTCCTTCCTCTCTGTTCTCCAGCAAAACCACAACTTCCTGTCCCAGAAGCACAGGCTGCCCTAGGAGGCGGCCACCCCAGTTTTCCCTGGATTTAGAAAGAGGAAGAGGAAGGGAGGTACGGGGAAGAGAACATAGCTGTTACCGTGTCTGAAGGCAGGGGGTGATATCTGAGAGCTAGACTAATGAGGAGCCAGGACGAATTACACACGCAGAAAGAACATAAATAAGAAAATTAAGGCAGGCACTGAGTATCAACAGGTGGTCAAAAGAACATACTAGGTGGAAAAGGAACGGGGAACAGCTGCCCATGGGAGCGCCCATTCCAAGTGTCCCACTGAGAGTGCAGGTGAGGAGGCAGGTAAGACAAGAAACCAAAGGGGTGGGACACCCTGCAGAAGCTGCTGCCCATTTTCACAGCTACTGCCACAGCTCTGGTGCAGAGGAAGAAGCTGCCAAACCTGGGTAGACACGGGGTGAGGCAAAGTCCTGAAAACAAACTCAAAGGTAAGCGCTGAAGAAGCCCACCCCAGGCTCCTTCAGCAGTGGAAGATGGGGCTCTCCCAATCCCCTCTGCATCTCGTTTCTCCCTGCGGTGTCTCTATCTCCCCTCCCCGCTATGTCTCCACCCCCCATCTCCCTGCGTCTCCATCCCCCATCTCCCTGCGTCTCCATCCCCCATCCCCCTGCGGCTCTATCCCCTCCCTCCTGCGTCTCCACCCCCTCCCCCTGTGTCTCCATCCC